CGATGGAGAGACTCCTGGTGTGCATCAATCAACCCAGAGAAGAGGGACCAAAATAGCTGATTACTGGGTCTGTAATGTCTTATCCTCAGAACTCAGAACAAAACCAGATTTTCAGTTAGCTTTTAGAATGGCTTGTTTTCCTCATCCATCTGCATGCCCAGCTAAAATCTTCCAGGAAGTGATCTTTGTTTCAACAGTAGGTATGTCAGGTACAGGTATTTTAAGGAGGTAGTTTAAGCCAAGGGCTGCATATTTCAATGTTTTCCTGACCCCCAGTTGAAAACCCATCTGCCACTGAGTGGTTTATAACGTGAGAGTCAGCTGCCACTATTTCTTTAAATGTTCTATAATGTTTATAATGTCAGCCAGTCCCTGTTGCTAATATTTTTTTTCTTTTACTTTCTTTACTGTTTTTTTTTTTTTTTTTTTTTGTGGTAACCCTTTTACCTTCTTTTTCCCTGCTCAGACCCATTAGCAGGATGTTGTGCAATATGGTGCTTGTCATCTGTTTCAAAGACACAGTGATGAGATACAGGTATGCCAGATGGATAAACCTAGTGTGACTAATTATTGTGTATTTGCCTTTAATTATTATCATTTATTACCAGAGAAAAGACAATAGAGGTTCCCAGACTCGGAAGGGAATGTCGGCAGAAGGGGAATTTTTGTCTTTTTTTGGTTTTTTTTCTTATTTTTTTTCAAGAGACTGGCACATCAGCAAGAAAAGTTTTCTTGGAGAGAAATACTGCAAAACATCCGAGACAAGAGGAGACAACGTAACCTAGGGAATACTTTCCTTTCCCTGGCACATACTTGAGGATCAGATCTCTCACAGGTAATAAATAGGTTTTGTGTAACTATAGAACAAAAGTACTCTCTTGGCTGAATGTCCACTCAGGGCATAAGGATATCTTTCAGTCATCTCACAGAGAGAGGTCTGAGTTCAAAGCGACCTCCAAAAATCACCCAGCCCAACCGCCCAGAACTGGCAGGGACACCTTCCACAAGACCAGATTGCTCAGAGCCCTGTCCAACCTGGCCTTGAGCACAGTCAGGAATGTGGCATCCACAGTTTCTCTGGGCAGCCTGTGCCTACGGGTAGGCTTCAGTCCTCTCTAGTCTGGTTTTGGAGACATTTCCAGCCCTGGCTCTGCCCTTTTGGCACCAGAAAAAGAGTAAACCATAAGATGTACATTATGTCCTCCATGGAGAGATGACACCTGAGGTCCTTAAGCAGCAATTTCTGACAAAAATAGGCTCAGAGTAGCAAACACTGACATTGGTCTCTGTGCCATCACACTGAGCCTTCAACCCTCTAAATGGAATTTGCCTCCATATATGACCCTCACACGCAACATTTCTACATTGTTTGGCAAAAATGCAGATTTTCCTCTTTTCAGTATATGACCTTGTTTTCAATCAATCCCTTCACATACACACACATTTACAAACGTGTGTTGTTATAAACCAAACATTTTAAAACAAAGGAGAAATTGCTGTTGCATTTCAGTAGGTGCCTACTGAGGACAGACACTTCACTCAACTCAGAACCAGCAGCCTGGCGTGCTGGATGATTTTGAAAGAGTCTAGAAGGTTGACAATGGTAAGAAACTTTTGGGAATGTTTAATGCTCTGGTCCCACAAGCTGCTTTCAGGTTACAGCTGAATCAGCTGCCATTTACAAGTGCAGAGTGGGTTTATGATGGCTCATAAGCCTGATCTTGCTTATGGGGCACTGCGCTTTAATTTGAGAGCAGCCACACTGATTTGGTAAACAGATTGAGGATGAGCTTCAGACTCCAGGCTTTAAAATTCATGAGGATCTGATTTAGTACGTTTTACACTGGTATTTTGACATATTTGCTCTATGGCTAAATTGCAGCGTAACCTAAAGGACCAGTCATATACGAAAATCTACCATAGATAATACAAGATATAATCAATGTCACCAGGCTGCTGAGCTATTTCTATATTTAGTATTTGTCAGACAAATACATGCAAAGGCATTAAAACAACAAACTCCGTACATGGATGATTTGTGAACAGGAGAAAAGGCTAAATTTGCCACTGTTTGCTCTGAATAGCTTACCCAGATTACAGGCCAATTTTGTTTTGGACAGAAATATTTTCCATCACAGAGTCTGCTGAAGTCAAGAGAGTACTATTCCTTTGGCCACAGGATGGCCTGAAGGGCTGGGCTGTATTTTGGGATTGGCAGCTCTGACCATCTCCCTTTAACCCATTTGAACACAATTTGATTGGGATTTGACTGAGCACTTAATAGTCTGTGATTGCCTTGATTGTGGACTTCTACTTTTAAACCAAATGCAATGTCATTATTATATATCAAGAAAGAACGATCCCTGATAACCAAAAAAATATTACATTAAATTGGCATGCTGAGAATTAAATATGCAGATTCAGCCTAATGAAATAACTTGCCTTTGGTTGCAAGAGCCTTCATCATTCTTAAGAAGATTTAATGCTAATCTGACTTGGAGCTGTTTCAGTCCAATTATTTTTTCGCAAATTTTGAGCTTTATTTTTTCTTTTCAGCAGCATTATTCTGTCTTGACAGTTTTTATTTTGTTATTTTTGTGGATATTGAGTAAATGGGAAACCAATTCAGAACCATTCTTAAGTAGAAATGAAATGCCCTGTAATCCAATTTTGATCAAAATTCATCTTTGCTTTTCGGGGACCGAGCAGCCTGTGCAGTTATCTCTGCACTGCACAAGTTGATAATAAAGCAAAGCAAAGCTCACATTCTTTTCCCTTTGCACGTGGTGGGAACTGGGCATTGTTCAGCTGGAGAACAATGTGCTGCTCCCCCAGCATGTGGCAAGGCAGCAGAATGGCAAGAAGAAGATTTCTCCCTGGACTTCTTCTTCTGTTCCTCTAATGTCTGAAGTAAACCTTTCTTCCTGCCTGTGGGTGGGTGGTTCTCTTCCCTGGAAACCTCCCTGTCTCCCTCCCCTGATGTCCTGTGTTGGCAGAAGATAGCTCAGTGCTGCAGCACCTTTCCCAAAAGCACTCCTGGGGAGCAGAGACACGTTCAGCTCTGGTCACAGACCTGGTTTACAGCTCCTCTGCCTTCCACTTCAGTGCCCATTGCCTTTTGCTTATGCACAGATACAAAAGCCAAGGCACATCACAAAAATGCAATCCCTGTCCAAGCAGTGGCTGGACAAAGAGGCCTCGTATGTCTTACACGGTGCAGGGAGGAATCCCATACAGCACAGGATTTTGCTTTATGTTTGCTTCAATGGCTCCAGCTGAGTTCTTAACTGCCTTTTATTCCACTTTGCCTGGCAGAAGCAATACCTCAAGGAAGGTTTTTCTGGTGCAACATCAGCAAAAATTGGTGGCTTAGGAATTGCTGTTTGCAATCAAGCAGAGCTGCTCCATTCCTCCTAAAAATGCTCTTATTCCTTCCTACCACTCATTTATTCACCAGCTCCTCCTATCTACAGCCAAACTTTTTTCAATGTTCATTTCATATAACCTTCCATGTTCTAATGCAATAGGCTTTCTTCTAGGATGAGACAGAACATTGAATATCAACGAGATTTCAGGCATCCATCCACACACTCTTCTAAGTCCACAGGATCCTGTGATAGGTCATAAAGGAGGGATACATTATTAAATAATCATCACAACATTGTCATCATCTGCCACCTGTCCCCAGAAGGAAAATTTAGGGGAGGTAACATGTCCATATGAGAGATGATTAAGTGTAAGTCTCTGGTACCCTACCAAGACACGTAGCAAATGCCTTCTTTTCCTTTGTAGCAGAAGTAATTACTAAAGGATAATCTGTTTTTAAAGAGATTGAGTTGTCTTTCCAAGACATCTTTGTGTTCAGCTACCCTTTATTAGTTACCTTCTTGTTTGTGTCTACTCATCACATCTTGTAGTTTCTTGCTGCTTGACTCTTTCTGTTTCCTCACCATCTAACCTTAGACCATTCCCTTTCTTCCTTTCTTCCTTTCTTCCTTTCTTCCTTTCTTCCTTTCTTCCTTTCTTCCTTTCTTTCTTTCTTTCTTTCTTTCTTTCTTTCTTTCTTTCTCTCTTTCTCTCTTTCTCTCTTTCTTTCTCTCTTTCTTTCTCTCTTTCTTTCTCTCTTTCTTTCTTTCTTTCTTTCTCTCTCCAAAAATCTGCCTCCTAGTATTTTCCATGAATTCATCTGCATTAAATTATTTATAGATACAATAAAGTCTGCTTTTGTCTAATGTTTATTTTCTTTAATAACAAGAAACATGGGGAAAATGTTCCAAAGAACCGAAAAAGGACTTGAGTTTTCCTGGACGCTAGGCAACAGTAGCCAAAAAGTACAAAACAAGATGTAGGGTGTTCATAAGATGCATCTAAAAATAATAATCTTAGTACTTTGGTATCTAATATGTTCTTTGAATATGTTATATTTCTCAGATCTGAGCCTTGGTTTTAATACTGTCATGACACTCTGAAGGTTTTAAAGGACAATGAGTCACTATGGAGGAAGCCAGGAGCAGTAAGTAGATGGATTACTGCTGGTGCAGCCAGACCTCTGCTACCTGTTTTCCTTGTCCTAAGTATTTTAAATAGGTCATGGAGGTCTCTTATGATGGTCATTTTCCCAACCAGAGGGTTTGTCTTGTACCTGGTAAAAATTAGAACAAACAATATATCTTCCTAAATGAGTCACTGCTAGTCCTTTGTTACCTTTTACTGTTTGTTTGAATTTACTTTCCATCATGATTTAAAGGCTTTTCCCATCTCCTTTTCCAGTGGAGGGTTTATGCTTCTCATTGCTTCTTTCTTCCCTTCAATTATGTGAGCCATGCAAGCATTTCCCCTTGAACACTTTCCAGCTCCCCCACCCCGTACCTCCCCCAGTGCATGTCCTCCCCCTCGTTTACACAGCTCCCTTCTCCACTGTGTTTCCTGCACTGCCTACACTAATTGCACTTAGCATGGATGTGGTGGGGGAGGGAGGCTGGAAAGGGAGAAAGTAAAGAGAGGACTTCTGAGGAATCTGTGTGAGTGAATCTTCTGTTTCTAACTGGAAGGTCCTCTGCACGTGGAAAAGAAATGGAAGACATAAAATAGGCAGCAGAAGGAAGAGGAGAGAGGAACAGATTCAAGTCCAGGTCCAGAGTGACCAGAGACAACCTCAAGGTAGGAGCATGTTGGTTCTCACCTTTTTAGAAGGAGCAAGGCAGCACCTGGAAACTGCACAGGTGGGAGCCCAGGAGATCCAGTGCCAGCTCTCCACAGCACCCACGTGATGCAAAATTCAGAGGGTAAGGCTTGTGGAGCCCTCCCTGCCACCTCTCCTGGCAAAAGGTTATTCAGCATGTGGGAGAGGTTACTTTGTTTTTTACTCATTGTTCCATACCCCTTGACCATTCACTCTACTGCAATTGCTTGTCTAAAACACTGCTCACTGCCCCTGTCCCCACTCCCATTCCAAAACCACATGAATAAGGATGCTGACACAACAGAAGTAATGAGCTGCACATTGGGGCCATTCCTACAGGCTGGGGATAAAATCTGCCTGGAGAACTTGCAAAATTCAGTCCCTGCTCTCCTCACAGTGGGATGTGGGTGTAAACATCGCCTCTTTCTCAGAGCAGCTTTTAAGAGTGAGTATTTGTCTCAGAAATAACAAACACACACCATCAAACAACAACCCAACTAACAAACAAGCCCTCAGAGACCAGCAGCTCCCAAAAATCAGCGCTCAGTACTCTCTGAAACTTCATTCATTTGGATTCAAAGGTACCTGGACACAGAACACTTGAGCTAGAGAAACTGCACATCTGTGGCATGTGTTTATTTATTTATTTACCTGTTTTCCAATCTTGTACCTGCCTACTTTAGCTGATCTCTAGCTATCAAATTGTGATGGAGCAAAAGTAATAAAATGCCTGTAGGATAGAAAAACCCTGCCTGAAGTTCTCCCATAGCTCAACCAGACCTAGAAGATGCACAATTCAATTAAAAGAAATATAAAGTTTTTCTCTCCTCACCTTGCCATTTTCCCCTTCTCTTCTGTGCATTTCATACATCCATATATATATATATATATATATATATAAATAAATACACACATACACACACACACACATACACACACACGCACAAACCCACCCCTCCCCTTCCCAATCCTTCCTTTAAGGTTTAATTTAACAATAACATTTGCGATCGGGGTCCTGAGCATCTCAAGGGCATTGCGCTTGAAATTGCACACACTCCGCACCATTTATCATAGCCTGACATGTGTCATGTTCCAGACTGCAGCTCCAAGAGGTTACAGCTCACGACTGCTCCTTTGTTGATCAGCTGCCGAGACAACTGAGGCACCTTTCTTTCTTTTTTTCTTCCTTTCCTTCTCTCATTTTTTTTTTTTATTATTAAAGCTGCACCGTCCTCTTTTCATAGGGTTCATTCTGACACAATGGAAAAAGAAAACAAATCCTTCTCTGCTCTGTGCAGTTCCCTCACCAGATCTTCATCAACCCAAATTCTGATCACATTTTATTTGTGTTCAATAGCAAAGCTTTGGCTGGTTAATATTACTGCTTAATACTGGATGTAAGAGGGATAAACTGTTTTCAAGGTAGCTCTGTGCCTGAGGAGAACAACAGGGTGTGTAACTGCTAAGGATACTGGGGACAGTGCTAAGGCAATCTCAAAGTACTTTCCTGTGGCAGCATCCAGGCTTGCCAGGCCAGTGAATTCCTTCCACTGCTAAACTTCAGTCTTGCAACTTCAGGGAAATGAATTTTTTCTTCTCAGGACTTTCTATTTCATTTACTCCACCTCTCCTCCTTCACTTCCTTGGTGCCTTGCAGATTTCTTTCTGCCTGCAGAGCGCCTGGGACCTGCGTGTATCTTTGCAGGGATGATGCATACAGCAATTCAGCAAACCAGGCTGTTTATAAACAACAGCCACTGAATTGCATTCATAAATCACTTGTAGATCCTACTTTTGCCAGTCTTCATCCTGCCAATCAACATTTGTATAGAGTATGGGTACGGGTGTCACTGTAACTTAATGTGTAAAGGATGCCAGGTACTTCTGATAGTAAGGAATGGGGTCTGAACACTGGTCTAAGATCTGAGCAAAAGCAGACTTTTTATTGTTCTGCATTCTCAAGAATGTCAGCATATCAGGTGAGCTACACATTTCCTTTTAAACTATTTATAATGAAGAGTTCTTGAAGGCAGGAAATGCTGAACTGGGGCCGATTTCTCCATTTCCTCTCCCTATTTTCATGTTCTGCTCTGTCCTGGAAGACCTCAAGCCTGAAGGTTCAGATCCCAAAGTCTGTCAGTGTTTTGGAATGATACTTGATCTTTCAGATTCCTATTCCCCTCTGAGCTCTAAATCACGCAATGTTCGTCACCACCTGTTAGCATCAAGCACAGCCTCTGCCGACACAGTTGGAGTTGTCTTACTTTCTCTCACACTCTCAGCTCTTGTCGATGGATATTTTTGGAGGTTTCCTCGGTTTAGAGGCACTTGATTAATCAGTAGTGCCAGATGGGAAGGCTCAACTACTACCACCACGTGTGTGTGTCACACGCCTATTAGATTCACTAACAGAGGGTTTTCTCGCCATTGGCCAGCAAGATTTTGCACTTTATCCTTCATTGTATGTTCTTTGCCCATGTCAGACCTCTTCGCCTTCCAGTTTAGCACTCTCCCCTCAAGAAGTCTGATCTGAACAGCACTTTGCTGCCTGAAGGATGCCTTGTTTCCTCCCTGTTTCTCAAGGAGAGAAAAGCCCAGTTTTGTGTCTCTAGCTGGGTTAGTCCCACATTCACAGCATCCTCTCCGAGCTGCTCCAGGGCTCAGCACGGAGCCGGCTCCCCGCTGCCCGTGATGCATTTCCCCCCTTGCATTTCTGCTCATGTTGCTGACCTTGACTGGTGTTTGATCCCTGCCCTCCCCCTTTGCCAGCGTCAAGGCCCCTGCCCGGCCCTGCAGGGATGATGTAGTGCCACCAGCTGGGATGGCATAAAGCAGTGCCAGGGCTCGGCCACCTTCCAGTCACATCCCTCTGCCTGTCCTGGGGAGAGCCACCACCTGCACAGCCCCACCTTCCCCCACTCTGAAAGGCGACAGTTCAGCAAAAACAGGGCAAGGCACACAGCACAGAGAGGCATAAGGGCAGAGAGCATCATAAATGCTGCTTCTCCATCGCTTTGCCACCCTAAAAAAACACTTGTCTGTATGTGCCTGACACTGGCACCGCTCCTCTGCCCCCAGGCAGCAAGGAAGCTGCTTGACTACCCAGTCTTAAAGGAACATAATGTCTCCCTAAAACTCTTAGGGAGGCTTACTGAGGATATTTAAGAGGGCTGGAGTTCTGTTATTTATGGAAGGGCTGTGCCCAGGGTGTGCCTGTGCCTGTCTCTCCTTTTAGGACACTTGTTCCCATGAAAGCTGCTGTGGTGTTTTAATTCCTCACTCCAGACCACACAGGGGCCAGTTTAGCCCCCAGCAGTTTTAAATGAAAGATGAATAATTTTAAGGGTATTTTGTGGATTTATAAGGAGGAAGTAAGGAGTCTAGAGAAAGGAAAATAACAGACTGTGGCAAAAATATTAAAAATAACTAAAAACCCACTAAAAATGAAATCCCCCCTCAGCTTTTTCTCTCCAACCATGGATATTGTCATTGTAATACTGCTCAGAAATGAGGTCCCTTTGGGCTGGGAGTGCAAGTAATACAATGGTACTCTGAGTGCAATAGAAAAGCAATGAGGAAAGCAGCACACACAGTAATCAGGTGAGCAGACAGGGCTTCAGCTGAGACCATCCTCTGAATATCTCAACCATGGAGTAGAGCTAAGACTGGATTCAGAACTGGCTGAACATCCTGGTCTCCCTGTGGAAGGAAATATGGCTACAGCAGCCTCTATTTATTGGGATGGCATTGGGGGATGCTGGAAATTAATTGGCTCCTCGGATATGAGGAATAAATGTAACCTTGGGTCTCTCTGCTGAAAAGAAAAGGAGAGAACCACCAAACCAAGTAACATATAAATAATAGGAGAACCAATAATGACTTAAAAAGGTATTTAAATGCAATCAGACAGAGTGGAGGAAAGAATAATGACATGTGTACAGTAGACACAATGTAGATTACAATTTATAACAGGATACAGGATGGAGCCAGCACTTGATTAGGGGACCATGTTACAAATTTTTCAGCATATGTCCTCTGTTTTTCTTTGCCTTGGCATAGAAGGTTGGGCACTGCTGGTAAGTAAATCAGATCGTCAGAAAATGCCCATGTTGATGAGAATTGCAGGATCCAAGGAAATTAACTTGACTTGTATTTTAGACAATTCTGCCATATCCATTCCTTGCCCAGAGCTGTCAACTGAGAAAGAGTTGTGCCTGCTTACAGCTTTAATCAGAGATAAAAATTACCCCTAGTTCATGAATATGTTTATCATGGAGATAAGTCAATGGCAGAGAATAGATTCTCAGCACACAGCTCTGCATGTCTTGCACTAAAACATGTCATATACTGATGTGTTTTGCTCTACAAATAGCACCCTCATACTCCACTCATTGTCCAGACACAGACAGAGCCTGGGCAGGGAAAAGTCTTTCAGAAGGAAGCACAAGGAGCTTTTGCTGATGAACTTGGAGGGCCTTGAAGCTCCTTGGGCATCTGCTTGCTGTGGCTTGGCCACCATCTATGAACCCTTCACCTGACTGCCAGGGGAGAGGTGAAGAGGGAAATTATCATTTGGTCTGATCACAAAGGCTGTTGCGGCTCCTTTGATCATCTTCTGTGTCTTGAGGCTCCGTCTCCCTCCTGGATGTGTTCCCAGCTGCTGCTGTCTGGACCCAACAGGCATGGCTCTTGACCATTAATACCAGTAAGTCATGCTCTGTGGTGGGGTGGGGGGAAGCTGTGATGTGCTATTTCTTGTGGGTAGTCAGGCTATGATAAAAAGGAACCTGTATTCATGAATACAGTAATTTTTTCCCACTTTTAAATGTCTTTTTTCTTCCCAGTCTGGTAACATCACTTCCCTCAGAGTACCCTAGATTAAAGAAAGCAATACCAGAACAACAACAAAAGCAGGAATGGGAATGACACAGCAAACCAGAAAGCAAATGGCTGACAAGGGATATTTATATGTTGCATG